CCCCAAAACCCCAAAACCCCAAAACCCCAATCTATTTATCAGAGATTGAAATTTGGCAAAATTTATATTATAAGGACAATTTTTAACATATTTTATGAAATTGTAGAGTAAGTTTATCAGTAATTAAAAATCAGTTTTTAATTTTGAAATAAGATAATAAGAAAACTGCTAACCGTGATGATAATACCAATTTATTATAATTGCCATTATATCACTAAATCAGTAATTAAGGTAAGGTAATTACCTTGAAGTAAAAATTTGCTCAGCAAACAAATTAAATAAAAGCTTAATAAAAAAAGTACTAGCCAAAATTAGAGTTCTCAATTAAGATTGTACTTGAAGAAATTAATATGGTAGAACACTTTTTATTCAAGGAAATTAATGGATTAATTATTCTACTTGAATTCATCCTTTAAATTTCCTTGCTTCTTGTTCTTAATTCTCAACACATATTTTTCTAAAATTCTTCCTTTCTATCATATCCTTCAAGAATATTATCAACACAAACCTTCTCTATCTCTTCAAGCACTTCCATATCTCTTTGTCCTCCTTCATACTCACTACTAGTATCACTCTAAACCATAAAACCTCAACTCCCACTTCCTCACTCTGATTAGCCCTAATCTCCCTGGCCAGTTCACTAACACTGATCTCATTTTCCGTCTCTGAACACTCAATTTCCTAAATTCTCACTCACCCCAAATCCACACTCCAAACCCTCCCCACTCAGACCACTCGCCTTTCCAAATTCCCCACTCTCGCTCAATCCCAGCTGGTCCTACTAAACTACTAAAACCAAGCCCGAACAGATTCTTACAATCTTCTTGAGTTTGCCATCCTTGGTCTCTTCAATGGGAGGTTTCTTTTTTGGAGACCTGACAACTTTGGGTTTACGAGCGGTGGATTCTGGGGGGTTGGATAGGATTTTGTATTTCTCTGAAAGGTGAGGGAGAAAGTACTTTTGTAAGAGGCTTTTTTGTGACGGAGATTATTGTTATCAGCTTTTAAGGAGTCAATAGTTCTTTTGTGTTTTGCTATTTTGCTTTCCATTAAGTCTTTTAGATCTTCTTTATCTGCTTTGTTTTGGTTTTGGAGATTGGTGTTTTTGTCTTCGGATAGTTTTAAATGATCTTGAAGATATTTATTATCATTTTCTAGCTTTGCTATATATTATAATATCTTCCCTTACTTCTTGCATAATTGAGGTTAACATTTTCTTGTCTCATTTCTTCTAATTTTTGCTTACACTCTAGTTTTATTTTTTCTTTGGCTTTCTTTAAATCTGAAATTTTATTTTTATTTTTATCTAGTTCCAATGTAATCTTATCAAGTTTCTCTTCTTCTTCACTTCTATAAAACTTTCTGGAAGGATCTCCTTGAGGATATCTAAAGTTAATTATTGCTGAATTCACTCTAAATTATCCTTTTTCTAAAATTATGAACAAAGGCCTTACAATGAGTTTGTTAAAGTGCTTTTCATCTCTGGAGTTTGAATATACTATTATCAAAATTATTGACAACACGAAGTCATAAAGTTATCAGAATGAATTAACTTGTAAAAATATATATTCTGATTCACAGCGATGCTTTATAGAGGTGAAAGAAATAATTGTGAAGCTAGATTAAAGTACATCATCAAGACTTGATTAATTAAATTTGGTTCAGGGAAGGAAAACTCTGATCGAAGGTGATTGATTTATTAAAAATTATTATTAATACTCGGAATTATAAGATTGATAAACAATCGTAAGTTAATTTTATTAAATACTAATACTTGCTTATATACTCAAAATTGATTTCTTGGACTGGTTTCTCTTAAATTTTTACGACTAAGGATTAAATTTTTTGACAAAAATAGCAAAGATATTTTTGAATATAGAAGTAGGGTTTATAAAGTGAAAAAGCTGAATTTACTTAATCTAATTTAGCTTGACTTTGAAAGGCAATGTTTTAGTATAACTTCCTACTAGTTTCTTTGCGAAATAACAGTCACAACTTATATGCAAAGGTTTCCTATTTAAAAGAACTCATATGCTTAATATGCACAGATCATTGATAATTTTTAAGATAATGATTGAGACTTGAATGAATTTGTAGATTCTTACAAATTGTGATTGTTTTCCCTTGCATCTTTCCATAATTTTCAATGTAATCCTTCACAGTCTATTGTTATGATTGGAGATTACTTTGATAACAACCTTTGCATATAAATCAACTGGAAACCTGGATTTGCTTGTTCAGAATGAAGGAATCATTATTGACTCTAAATATTACCACATTATTTGTTATGGGTTCAGAGTTCCAAGATTTTTCATATTTTCAGACTGTCTAATATTTTATTGTGACCAATGGAACTGAAATAGAATTTTACAAGAGATAGTTTTATGCTAATTGAAGCAGAAAATTCTGCTTTATGATATCAAATCAATATTGCATGAAGAAATGGAAACATTCTATAATTTTTTTTAATTACTAAAGCTTAAAACTTACTAAATTGATAAAGCCTTGATAGTTCTAACACTCTTTCTATAGTCTCTTTCAAGAAATAGACAGATCTCTCGTCTCCTATTTCTTCATCATGATCAGGGCAATAAGCAGCAATAATTTTATCAAACTTTAAATTTCCAGATGGTAGAACTACTGCATCTCCCATTTTCAAAGGTCCATGCTCCTTTATATAAACATTTCAGAACTCTTTCAGCTCTACTCCTGCTTCTCTCCTCACAAGACTAAATTCATCAGACAAACAACTCAATCTCAAATTCGCATCTATTGGAAGTATCAATGCACTTGAACTTTCTTCAGCAACATCTGTCACAAACTTCGAGGCGATTTTAGCTCCACAATGATCAATCTCGACACTTTCGTCCATCCTCTGCCTTTTCCTTTCTTTTAAGTCTCCTATCTGAATTTCTAACTCTCTCATGTCTACACAAAGAGGTAAAACAGTCTATGGATAAGCAAGCATTACTTCTTAAATGGCTCTGGCGGATGTACTGGAGAGTGGACAGTTCAGAATTTGCTCTTGAGAGAAGCTCTAAGTTGTGGATTAAGGAAGCAGTGTATTTGGATTGGATGGCTCAATTGAAAGAGGTTATTTCTGTGCTGAGTGACGAGCTTTGTTTGAGTAGGGATTGTTGGGTACCAGTCAGGGAGTTGATTTTGGTGGAGGCAGATTTGGCAGATTCTGTGAGAGTTGAGATGGTAGTGATCAAGGAGGTGATTGAGGTGATGATTTCTTCTGATCTGGTGTTAAGGATGTCTTGGATTTTTGTCAGGGATTTAGATGTTAAATTAAGGAGTTCTAAAAATTTATCAATAAACATTACCAGTCTTAGATTCGAGCTGTTCATTCATTTTTAGCCTATATTTTATCTTGGAGTTTGTTCGATTTTAGATTGTAAGAAATTATCTTTTAATCAATTTGTACTAATTAAAGTAAGTGATTCTCCTAAACATTAGAATGGAAGTTGTGGAATATAAATCAATTATAAAAAAAATTGATAACAACAAACTTATTTATAGTATTCAAATATGTAAGAATGCTTACAGAAAATTCTCTTCTTAATCATTAAATAAACGGAAATCTACTTCTATTTATTTTAGGATACTCATTTATATTCAAAGTCTTATGTTTTGAGAAGCAAGAGTGATGTAGAATCATTTCTTCTCATATAAGGCGGAAAATTTATTTCTCATAAAATGTAAATGTATTCAAAGACATCAAAAGTTCTTCAATGAATCTATATAAAATCCCTAAATTCAATATTCTAGTATGATTCCAGAATTTCTTGACATTCTTTAGAATAACTACAAATTGTATGCTCTAAATTTTCCATATATCTACTAGACTCAATTCCAAACATTAATCTGTTAAACTTAGTTGTTCAAACAAGGGGCAGACCATGCTTTAGCCTCTAAAAAATCCAACAAATCTAGCTGGTAAATCCAGTTCAGTTAGCTGTGGAATAAGACGAGGACTGCCGTTTTTAAATATCTTCAATAACTGCTTACATTTTAGCTTTAAGTGATTCGATGAAACTGTAATTTTCTTGGTTATGGTTTTGAACTTTAGTCTGATAATTCTTTGCTTTAATATTATGGTCTTTAATATCATTTTCTATGAAGTTATTAATAGTGTTTACTTAAAGCCTCAGTATATATTTTTAATTTTTTCTGGTTTCCATCTTGATATCTTACAACTAAGTCCATATATCTTCCTACATTTTTCGCAATTCTCTTTCAAGATTCGATATCTGCATAAAAGCTTGATTCTTGTTCTGTATACTGGTTGCTTGCTTCAGTTGCATTGATATACAACTTAGAATATTCATTAAAAAGGCTTTTGTAAGCTAATTGGATTTCTTCAATCTTAGAATTCAACTCTTTTGAATCTACTTCCTCATTGCTCCTTTGCCCTTCAATCTTTTCCCATTCCTTAGTAGTTTTATTAAAATCTTCTTGTAAATTTTTTATTTCCTCATCCTTCATCTTTACCACCTTCTCTAACTTTCCTATATCTGTTCGGCTTGTTCTTTAATAACTGATGAGTTATGGTCATGATCATAGGAGTGCAGGCGGGGATTTTGGGGAATAACTTCTGGAGGATTTGACAGATATTCTTCCAGATTTGAGAGGCTGGATTTTAGAGAGGAGAGGTCGTATTTTGACAGTGAGGGAGATGTGGGATGGGGTGGGTTTGGAGGAGGTGAGGTAAAGGTGCTTGGCGAAGGAGTTTGGTCGGCAATGGATTTGGTTATAGTTGTTTTCTTCATTTCTTGTTTTAATTTTCAATCTTTCCCAATTTGTCAAATTTCAATTATTTTATCTTTATCTCGCTGAATGAAGAATTTCTTTTTTAAAAATTTGTTCATTTTTATTTTCTTGTTTGTGAAATTATGAATTCTAACAAAGTTTCTTATTTCTTGAAGTTTTCCATTTAATTCATTAAATATTCCACTTGATGTTTTATTCTCTTCTTGTAGAACTGATATTATTAAAGAAAAATTACCTTTGATAAGCTTTTTAATTTCACTAACTTTTTCACTAGTACTTCTAGTTGAGGACCAACTCAGGCTGCATAAATAAATTACTGGATGCAAAGTACATGGTTTTCGATTAAATTAAAGGAATGAATTTAGATTTAATATATGGGTTTAAAACATGTTGCCTTGAATAATGCTCTTTTAAAAATAGTTTACATTGTATTAAAGCTTGGTATAAAGAGCATGGATCTATTTAATATGAATTGACTAGGATTTATTGTAAATAAGACCTCAAAGGTATAACTATCTTTGATCATATTATTTAGCGAAACAATTTTGAAACAAAGAAAATATTGACGGCTGATTCAAAAGTACATCTTTTTGCAAATAATAAACGTAATCAAATTGTTTCTTCTTTTCACCCCTTAACATTATTCAAGGAATAATAACTTTTCTGAAATTAAATATAACTTTCAATCAATAGTAAAGTCCTAAATTCTTACGGTTTGTCAAATTGAGTATTTCCTTGTTCATCAACTTTTTCAGTCACATAGCTTTTATGTGAAACATTTATTATTTTATCATTTAACTGTTTCTAAATCAAAGAGTTATTATTGTGGTTCCGATAACCTTTTTATATATTTTATTTTAGGTTTTTTTATTTCCTTTTGAATTCTGTCAAAGAGACTTTAGGCAAATTTGAACTGCTCATATTTCATTACTTTATAAGGGTGCAACAATGGTGTGTAATCTCAGTCTCAAATATACAGAATGGGACAAAGCTATCTTAATTAAAAAGTGTATTGAAAAAGGCACTCAAGCTTATATACTATAAAGTCTCAGATATTTTCATTAGGTATTCATGGAACAAAACCTTCGGTTATTACAATCCTGATCCAAATAGTCTTTCAGTTTTTTAATCCAATAGCAAATATTGCCTCGACATGTAATAAAATAGCTTTAAAATATCTGTATAAGCTAGTTTTATTTATTAGAGAAGCATTAAATCCTTGAGTATTTGTTCGTTTCCTTTTAGAATTGAAATAAATACTATATTTCTAGTCCAAGTCTAAGATTTTGATTCTAAAGTAGAAGGATAGAAAATAGAAAAGGCCTAACTATTCTGTATTCGGTATTAATCTCAGAAGTTTTCCCTTATCTCAATCTTTTAAAGTAGCTGTTCTCAATTTTTCTCAATTGTGTAAGGTCCCATTGGATTTAATAAGTTTTTAAAGAAAAGAAATCATGTTATATAGTAAAGCAAATATTTTTATGAACCTATTTCATTACTTTCTGAGAAATAATAATTTTAAGGATGAGAGAAAATTCAGCAAAAGTTTAGTGTTTTTAGAAATTCCTTAACCAAATTGATATTAAAGCAATATATGTCTATTATTTGAGGCTATTAACATTATTTCTGCTTTAAATGAGAAATTATTTATCCATTTTATTTTTATTAACCTTTAAGATTTTATATTAATTTTTAATGCTTTCTTTTTGAATAATCAACAAAGATGAATTTAATAAAAATTTAATAAATCCTTTTTAACCTATGCTAGCATCACTAAAGTAAAGAATGTTTTACTTTACTTATTGCAAATAGCATAAAGCTAGGTTTTCTTGTTTTCATAATAAATAACTCACTTTGGAGCTCTTAATATTGTGTTTCTTTTTCTAAAGCAGCTACAATATTTTTCCTAAACTACAGGAGAAATACTATAGATTAATTTCAAAACATTCTCTAGTTTTCTCTTTTCTAAAACTTATTTAGCAGAATTTAAAATGCAGATCCATTTTCAAAAGCGAAAACAATCCGGCAGCACATCTCCGTACCAGAAATGTCCAGTTACTTACAATTCTCTTTACTACTTCGTTGCATACAGCTCTCTGGTTAAAGTACTCATCGGTGAGTTCAAGGACATCATCTAAAATAGAAGAAGGTTGAAAGTTGCAAAGATACAAGTCAATCTATCCATCGTAGTTTGCACTCTTATTAGCTAAGCGAGGTTGGTGGTTTATGAAAGCCAAATAAATATCTTGAGAGATAACAAAACTGGATTTATAGTTAGATAATTTTAATCTTAATCATGAAGCCAGTATTTGAATTAATTAGGAAGTTTGATCCTTAGATAATGACTTAAAAAATTAAGAAAAGTCTCGCAAAGAAAATACTCTTACTCGTCAGTTCATCTATGTTATAGAATTCTTCTTCTAAAGCAATTTCCGAAGTAGTACTTTCGATTAAACTAAAACCATCTCCACCAGATTTTCTTTCCTCCATCGAATCCTGGTCATAATTCTCGCTCAAACTCTTAATCGGAGTTTCCTCCTGTTGTTCGACATGTTTTATATCAAGTCTAAACCATAAGTTTATTCTGGTCAAACACTTAAAGCAAGAGAGTGACTTACCTGTGACATCGGAGAACAAGAGTCTGAACTGGGAGAGTTGTGTGGAATCTAGAAGGTGAGGGGAGCAGTACTCATTTGGAACTGGGGTGATGCAGGTGCTATAATTGGTTAGAATGTTCTTCAAAAGTTGATTAAAATGTAATTTTACCTTCTTCAATTTTAATCTCTTCCCTACTTAGGATTGGTTTTTTATTTGATCGCCTAGAAAGCTCATCATCAGAAGATTCTTCCGAGCCATCAGTTTTGATATCCTTCTTGTTAAACAATTTTCTTCCTTCTATAGATTGCGAGGGTTTGATTGCTTTAATTTTGGTTTTATTTTTAGAAAGAGAAGAATCCCCAAATTTCTTTTTAACATTTGCGATATTTACATCTAAAAATGTATCCTTTCTTTTAGAATGTTGACTCTTAGCAGCTCCAGAATCTCCTTGCAATAATTTTGTTTTATTGCTCCTTTTGGCTTCAGAAGATCTTTCTGAAGCAATTCCAGAATGCTCATCTATATCGTCCTTTGAATAATTTTGCTTTCCTTCTTTTTCTTCACCTGGATGACTAAATTCTTTTTGGAAAAGTTGAGGATCTCTTGTTAACTCAAACTTTATTTGCTTTAATTGAATTTCATGAATGGTTTGAAGTTGGTCAAGGATTCTGTTATGGTCTTCACAGTTAGTATATTCTAAATTTGGCAATTCAGATACAACCAGAGAGGCTGGAGGATTCGGTGATTCTTCTGGAGACTTGTTAATAAGATTTGATATGTGAATATCAGCTGTTTTTGATTCGGCTTTGTCTAAAATAGTCAACATTTTCTGATATTTTGGCTCTTACTAATATGTTTGTTTCATTTATCAATCGAATCTGCTATAGAACCTAATTTTATTTGAGCTGTATTTGAAGCATTGATATATTCTTGATTCACTTCTGATTGAGACTCTATATTTATAATTAATTTCTGAAAAATATGTTAAAATCTTAAATAAAAACTAAAAACATATTGAAGCTTTTAAATAAAATTACTTTGCAATGCTTCATAGATAGACTTTAGCTCTTTCCCATCAAAAGAGGATTGTATCTTCGAATTTAACTCATCTGTTTACATTAACATAAAAACTATACATCTTTTGGCCATTAAACTTTCTGCTTTTTTAGATTCATCGTCACTAAACACATTTTCTGGTAAATTTTCTAAAATTTCCTTGTTCTCTTTCTTAGCATTCTCTACTTTTGCAATCTTTTTCATCAAGATCTTCTCATTACCATCAAGAGTGTTCTTAGTTTCTTCTATTTTGCTGTTTCTCTCTTCACAGTCAGCTGGTAAATCTTCAAAGCTGACTTTCTTCATTTTCTCCCCAGTTCTCATGCATTGCTCCAATACACTCTCCTCTTGTTGGCCTTGCTTGGCATTTTCAGAGTTTTCCTTGCTAAAATATTGGAGATCTTTTGGCTCGAAAATTTTAGGCAAAACTTCAAATCCTATTCAGATGTCATTCTTGTTGGTTCAAAATTACTTACCTTCACAGGGGTTGGCGCCATGGGAAGAGTTCTTCTTCCTTGTCCTAGAGGACTTATTTTTGACAGGATCCATTAAAAATGAATTTATTAATATAAAATTAGTTTTCTATTTTCTTTAAATAAAAAGGGGTTTTGGGGTTTTGGGGTTTTGGGG